ACTCTGCTTTTTAAAAAAATGTACTTAAGTATCTTTAAGTGTATGTCCTAATTTGCTCTAGCATTACGTTGTAAGAAAATTTAAATCTTTTTACCCCTTTTGACCCAGCTCATCAGCCAGTATTCAGGGCCTTGTAGGTTCCTCCCTGCAGGGAGCAGTTCTTTAACAGGTTTTAAACAATACCCACAACCTCCTGTTTTCCAGATTACCGGAGAAATTAAGCAACAGGATCTGGGTTCCCGTCTGCCCCGGCCAGGGATCCGTGCAGCAATCTCCATTTCTGTCTCCTGACCATCTTCCAGGTTCGAGCTACTAGTGTTTTCCCAACCCCTCGGATTCTCTGTTTCCTTCTGCCTGGCCGTGTAACGTGGCTGGGCTGTGTTTGCCCTGCTCCCCTTGTGCCCCCGTTCCCTTACAGCAATGCCATGGCTCCTGTGTTGGAGTTTCTGTTCCACCCAGACCCTGCTGTGCCCGAAAGTGCTGAACTGCTGCTCGCCGTTCCCTAAACGAGGGGCATTTCTCACACCCACCAGCCTCGGGGAGGTTTTTTTTGGGCTGCCCCGTGACAAATGCCGTCTTGATCTCCGGGAGTTCACAAGGTTCTTGTGTTCACGTGTGTATGGACTAATCTCTGGAAAAGATTGATCCTAAAACGAGATTAATTGGACAAAGGAAACGGTATCATGGCAAGAGCCAGGCTGGTCCTGGCTGGCCAAGGGGACCTGAGGGGTCTAGGGGGAGACAGGAGGGTGGTGGGATCCATGCTGTCCTGGGGAGCAGCAGGTGGTCAGGTGGGGGCACCAGCCACGGTGTTGGAGCCTGGGAGCCTCGGGATGGATTTGGGAAAAGCTTTTCCAGCAGAGGGTGGTGCAGCATGAGCAGAGGCTGCGGGGGGGGGCTGGAGGGAGTCTCCAGCCTTGGGGGTCTGCGAGACTCAGGTCATTATAGCCACAGATGACCTGGGTGGCTGTCAGCAGTGCTGCCCGGGCAGGCGGGTGAGCTGCCAAAAACCAAGAGGTCCCTCCCAGCCGCCCTCGCTGCGAATCCGTACCCGCCTGAATCACGCTGAGAATCCCACAAAGCTTGATAAAATAATAAAAAAAAATATTTTAATCTGCAGTTCTTCTGCACGTGACTGTCTCCTGCTGGCACACTGGCACTGGGTGGTCGGTGGGACCGGTGGGCAGCACGCAGCCTACGCAGCCTCTCCGCTTCTTGGCGGGAGCGGGCGCGGGGGCTGCCCCAGCAGCTCTTTCTCATCAGCAACTGGTACGAGATGAGTCACAGCTTGTCTCGTTTGGACCAAACTATCTGCCAGTTGTTCCCCAAACCGTGCTTAAATGAAGGGAAAATGAAAGGACTTGCCCCCAGTGCTGTTTTCTGCGTGCTGCAGAGCAGTGCTGTGGGCAGAAGTGGCAAATCTGGTCGTTTGCAGTCCCCGGGCAGCAGCGAGAAATGGGTTGTAGTTCTGAAACTGGACGTGGATAAACTTTGCATTTATTCTTAGGTAGGCACAGTCATTTGGGGCCAGAGACTTGGTGAGACAGAACAGCTTGGTACCGTGGCTGGCATTGCCCTGAGCAGAGCTGTGTGGTGGGTTCCTGTGTGCCCACAGCTGAGCGGTGCTGCCATGGCAGAGGGTGCCCAGGAGCGACCAGGCTCTGCACATCTGCAACAGCTGCCAGAGCTGCACGTAGTAACCCCTCTAGAAAGTCCTAACTGCTGCAAATAGTCTCCTCCTCCCTACGCACGTATAAAACACTGAGCTTTTATTTAAATGACACCAATGTTTTCAGAAAACGTCTTGGATTTTTGGTAGGTTTTACAGGAAAAGTAGAAAATGACACCGTTCTATCACGCGTGCTTCTGAACTGATATCACTGTGAAGCTGTTATGAATTAGCTGCAGAATTGATGGCTCCCAGAGTGGCTGCTTACCCAGTGTGATACTTCACAGGGCCTTTTTTTTTCTTTTTTTCTTTTCTTTTTCCCCACTGACAGCTTCACCAGTTGTTGCTGTTCCCAGAGCAGGAACCGGAGCCGTCAGTCAGCACCGGGCAGCTGGAGAGGATGTAAACTGGGTGGCTAAATTCTTGAAACCCCATGTCTGGGCAGATTCTGTGCTCGGTGTTTTGCAGCCATTATGGGCTGCATCTCTGGGAATTCACCCAAATAACAGGAAACAGTCACCAACGTTGGTTCTTTTCCTTTGGTTCAGCACTTCTTGTCTCTGTGCGTGTTCTGTGCTGTGTCCCCGCGGTCTCTGTCCTTGTCACAACGGTCTCACTTTATGGAGAAGATGACACTGCTAAAACAGGGAGGTGTAGGGAGGCAATCTCTGCCTTATCCACCTTTTTCTGCTGTTTGAAGGCAGGGCTGATGGTGCACGCTACCTGAAAGGTTACTGTTGGCTGTTTCTGACTTGGTAAGATACGTTGTGACTCACAAAGAATAAGTAAAATTAAACGTGAATGATATTGAGATGGATTTGGACTGAGGAGTCTTTAAAACGTGGTACTTCTTAGCACTTTCAAATGAGTATCAGTATTACGAAGCGTGAATGCTTTCTGCTGGCTTTGCATATTTCGCAATAAGCTTTATGTTCATTACTGGAGAACGTTTTTACAAAAGCATTTGGATGTATTTTTCTCTATTCAGCACGTTTTCAGCATAAGTTTCCATTTGTATTACCATTCTCCTTATTAGCTTCCTTATTTTCACTATGCTTTTCAAACTCGATTGAAATCCGTCTTACTTAGTCTCTGTGGGTGTGGGTCTGATCCCTCAGACTTTCTGCTCCCGTTGACTTTGGTGGGAACTCTCTCTAGAGAAGACTTGCAGAAACCAGCCATATAATTGAATCCATCTACTCCTTCATGAAAAACTCCTGTCCAATGCTCAGTCATTATGAAAACTTCCGAAAACAAATCGAGTAGAAGAAGAAACAGAGCTGAAAGAGACCACCCAAAGTACTAGAACCAAAATAAGCGTTATCCATCTCCTTTTCTTTTATTCCAGAACTTGTGTCCATACTCCCACATCTAGGAAGAGGTTATTAATAATAGAGGTTATTAATAATTGCCAGAGATCTTCT